GATGATGGATAGAAAGGTCGGTGGTTGGATGATGGATAGATAGGTCGGTGGTTGGATGATGGATAGATAGATCGGTGGGTGAATGATGGATAGATAGATCGGTGGGTGGATGATGGATAGATAGGTCGGTGGTTGGATGATGGATAGATAGGTCGGTGGGTGAATGATGGATAGATAGGTCGGTGGATGGATGATGGATAGATAGGTCGGTGGATGGATGATGGATAGAGAGGTCGGTGGTTGGATGATGGATAGAGAGGTCGGTGGTTGGATGATGGATAGATAGGTCGGTAGGTGGATGATGGATAGATAGGTCGGTGGATGGATGATGGGTAGATAGGTCGGTAGGTGGATGATGGATAGATAGGTCGGTGGATGGATGATGGGTAGATAGGTCGGTGAATTGATGATGGATAGATAGGTCGGTGGATGGATGATGGGTAGATAGGTCGGTGGATGGATGATGGATAGATAGGTCGGTGGATGGATGATGGGTAGATAGGTCGGTAGGTGGATGATGGATAGATAGGTCGGTGGATGGATGATGGATAGATAGGTCGGTGGATGGATGATGGGTAGATAGGTCGGTAGGTGGATGATGGATAGATAGGTCGGTGGATGGATGATGGATAGATAGGTCGGTAGGTGGATGATGGATAGATAGGTCGGTGGATGGATGATGGATAGATAGGTCGGTGGATGGATGATGGATAGATAGGTCGGTAGGTGAATGATGGATAGACAGGTCGGTGGATGGATGATGGATAGATAGGTCGGTAGGTGGATGATGGATAGATAGGTCGGTGGATGGATGATGGATAGATAGGTCGGTAGGTGGATGATGGAAAGACAGGTCGGTGGATGGATGATGGATAGATAGGTCGGTGGATGGATGATGGATAGATAGGTCGGTAGGTGGATGATGGAAAGACAGGTCGGTGGATGGATGATGGATAGATAGGTCGGTGGATGGATGATGGATAGATAGGTCGGTGGATGGATGATGGAAAGACAGGTCGGTGGATGGATGATGGATAGATAGATCGGTGGGTGGATGATGGATAGACAGGTCGGTGGGTGGATGATGGATAGATAGATCGGTGGATGGATGATGGATAGAGAGGTCGGTGGATGGATGATGGATAGATAGGTCGGTAGATGGATAATGGATAGATAGGTCGGTAGGTGTATGATGGACAGATAGGTCGGTGGGTGGATGATGGATAGACAGGTCGGTGGATGGATGATGGATAGACAGGTCGGTGGTTGGATGATGGATAGATAGATCGGTAGGTGGATGATGGATAGATAGGTCGGTGGTTGGATGATGGATAGACAGGTCGGTAGGTGGATGATGGATAGATAGGTCGGTGGTTGGATGATGGATAGATAGGTCGGTGGATGGATGATGGATAGATAGGTCGGTAGGTGGATGATGGATAGATAGGTCGGTGGGTGGATGATGGGTAGATAGGTCGGTAGGTGGATGATGGATAGACAGGTCGGTAGGTGGATGATGGATAGATAGGTCGGTGGTTGGATGATGGATAGATAGGTCGGTAGGTGGATGATGGATAGATAGGTCGGTGGTTGGATGATGGATAGACAGGTCGGTAGGTGGATGATGGATAGATAGGTCGGTAGGTGGATGATGGATAGATAGATCGGTGGATGAATGATGGATAGATAGGTCGGTGGTTGGATGATGGATAGATAGGTCGGTAGGTGGATGATGGATAGACAGGTCGGTAGGTGGATGATGGATAGACAGGTCGGTGGATTAATGATGGATAGACAGGTCGGTAGGTGGATGATGGATAGATAGGTCGGTAGGTGGATGATGGATAGATAGGTCGGTAGGTGGATGATGGATAGACAGGTCGGTAGGTGGATGATGGATAGACAGGTCGGTGGATTAATGATGGATAGACAGGTCGGTAGGTGGATGATGGATAGATAGGTCGGTAGGTGGATGATGGATAGATAGGTCGGTAGGTGGATGATGGATAGACAGGTCGGTAGGTGGATGATGGATAGATAGGTCGGTAGGTGGATGATGGATAGATAGGTCGGTAGGTGGATGATGGATAGATAGGTCGGTAGGTGGATGATGGATAGACAGGTCGGTAGGTGGATGATGGATAGATAGGTCGGTAGGTGGATGATGGATAGACAGGTCGGTAGGTGGATGATGGATAGATAGGTCGGTAGGTGGATGATGGATAGATAGGTCGGTAGGTGGATGATGGATAGATAGGTCGGTGGTTGGATGATGGATAGACAGGTCGGTAGGTGGATGATGGATAGACAGGTCGGTAGGTGGATGATGGATAGACAGGTCGGTAGGTGGATGATGGATAGATAGGTCGGTAGGTGGATGATGGATAGACAGGTCGGTAGGTGGATGATGGATAGATAGGTCGGTAGGTGGATGATGGATAGACAGGTCGGTAGGTGGATGATGGATAGATAGGTCGGTAGGTGGATGATGGATAGATAGGTCGGTAGGTGGATGATGGATAGATAGGTCGGTAGGTGGATGATGGATAGATAGGTCGGTAGGTGGATGATGGATAGACAGGTCGGTGGATGGATGATGGATAGATAGGTCGGTGGTTGGATGATGGATAGACAGGTCGGTAGGTGGATGATGGATAGACAGGTCGGTAGGTGGATGATGGATAGACAGGTCGGTGGATTAATGATGGATAGACAGGTCGGTAGGTGGATGATGGATAGATAGGTCGGTAGGTGGATGATGGATAGATAGGTCGGTAGGTGGATGATGGATAGACAGGTCGGTAGGTGGATGATGGATAGATAGGTCGGTAGGTGGATGATGGATAGATAGGTCGGTAGGTGGATGATGGATAGATAGGTCGGTAGGTGGATGATGGATAGACAGGTCGGTAGGTGGATGATGGATAGATAGGTCGGTAGGTGGATGATGGATAGACAGGTCGGTAGGTGGATGATGGATAGATAGGTCGGTAGGTGGATGATGGATAGACAGGTCGGTAGGTGGATGATGGATAGATAGGTCGGTAGGTGGATGATGGATAGATAGGTCGGTAGGTGGATGATGGATAGATAGGTCGGTAGGTGGATGATGGATAGACAGGTCGGTGGATGGATGATGGATAGATAGGTCGGTAGGTGGATGATGGATAGACAGGTCGGTAGGTGGATGATGGATAGATAGGTCGGTGGATGGATGATGGATAGATAGGTCGGTGGATGGATGATGGATAGACAGGTCGGTGGATGGATGATGGATAGACAGGTCGGTAGGTGGATGATGGATAGATAGGTCGGTAGGTGGATGATGGATAGATAGGTCGGTGGATGGATGATGGATAGACAGGTCGGTAGGTGGATGATGGATAGATAGGTCGGTAGGTGGATGATGGATAGATAGGTCGGTGGATGGATGATGGATAGACAGGTCGGTAGGTGGATGATGGATAGATAGGTCGGTGGATTAATGATGGATAGATAGGTCGGTAGGTGGATGATGGATAGACAGGTCGGTGGATTAATGATGGATAGACAGGTCGGTAGGTGGATGATGGATAGATAGGTCGGTGGATGGATGATGTATAGACAGGTCGGTGGATTAATGATGGATAGATAGGTCGGTGGATGGATGATGGATAGATAGGTCGGTGGATGGATGATGTATAGACAGGTCGGTGGATTAATGATGGATAGATAGGTCGGTGGATGGATGATGGATAGATAGGTCGGTGGATGGATGATGTATAGATAGGTCGGCAGAGGGATGATGGATAGATAGGTCGGTGGATGGATGATGGATAGATAGGTCGGTGGATGGATGATGTATAGATAGGTCGGTGGGTGAATGATGGATAGACAGGTCGGTGGGTGGATGATGGATAGATAGGTCGGTGGATGGATGATGGATAGATAGGTCGGTGGTTGAGTGGTTTTGTTAAATCGTTCGGCGGAGGGATGATGAATCGATTGGTCGGTTTGTGGGTGGCTGGATGGTTGCATAGATAGTAAGGTGAGTGGGAAGCGTGCTTGACCAGAGGGTTGGGTGTTTGGTTGTGAAGATTGATGTGTATGTAGTTCGAGGTTAGGGGACCGATTGATAGACGGAAAGGAACAAATGAATAAAAACGATTTCAGCACCATCACCACCATCATAACTACCACCGCTGTGGTCGCTTTACATTATCAGGGACTCCTGGTATGGTCAAAGCACTTGAGTAAATGTTTAATACCATGATTCACGTGTAGAGCCGCTGTTGATCCCTGTTTGCCCCGAGCGTTGGCCCCACAATATCCAGGTAATACCATCTCATATCACTGATAAGGGGATCGTTGATCTATCACCTATACAAGAGCGCAGTTGACAAGTGTCTTACTTTCCAAAATAAATTGTCAGATAATATGTTTTGAATGTTGGCTGTTAAGTTTTGCTGTTCAGGTATTCAGTGAGTGAGTGAGTGAGTGAGTGAGTGAGTGAGTGAGTGAGTGAGTGAGTGGGTGAGTGGGTGGGTGGGTGAGTGAGTGAGTGAGTGAGTGAGTGAGTGTTGTTTAACGCCCATTTACCAGTATTTCAGTCATACGTGTATCAATAGGTGTCCCTTTGCTGTGTGGGAAAAGACGAACTGATGCAGGCCTTAGACGTTTCCACTGTGGTGAAATTCACAAGCACGGGGCAAACATTTGGTACAAACGAACAATCAATAATCGATGTTTTTGGTATATAACAAACGTATATATAAGCGGTTTGTACTTCGTCTTCCAAAGTTTTTTTTTTTTCATAATCCACTGATATTATTAATAAGAACTAAAACTGAAAGCTGAAGTGTCACTAAATGACTTTTGATCAGTGTAGATATGCGTACGCCATTAAAGTGCGTCTTCGTCACAACTCCCGCTTGAAGTGTTATTTTATGTGCGCTTCTTTTGCTAAGGCTCACGGGGAGTTGTCCAAGGTGCGCGTTGGAAATTTAGAGTTGTCCGCCCATTGTTTCTATGGACAACAACAATCATGGCGTCCGGCGAAGCAATGAAGATCGAAGTTTTTGGACTCTTGAATGATGTCAATTTTGTCAGAGCAAAATGTTGTGCAGAGGTTTGTGAATTTGTTTTATTTAAATATAAAATAAGAATTATATTATTTGCACATTAAAATGAATTAAAATAAACATCGCGAAACAGAACTTAGAATCATAACAGTAACAACCGACTAACAGTGTTGTTTTTTCTAACAGTTGAAGTTGAATACTGTCAAAATAAATCTGTAATCATCTGAAATCGAATTATTCAGTAGCATTTAAGACAGAAGACTGTGAATTACACCAGTGTCTGCATGTGTAGGCCTATGTTTATGCAATATGCAATTATCGTTACATATTTTTGTAAGAGATGTACAGAAGAAAACCTTCAGGCTGTCTGAAGATAGCTCTGTTAATATTAATATTATTATTCGATAAATTAACACTAAGATATACTGTTAATGATGTCAAGTGGCAGGTTTTGGCTGTAGATTCAAAAGTTTTTGTCTCAGTCTGAAACAATATATCATAACCACTGGACTGGGTATCCTGTGTGAAACTTATTTCAATATTGCTACTTTTCAGGATTTGCACGCAAAAGACTCACAGGTTGAGGCTCCAGTTATTTATGGCATGGTGGAATTCGACTGGGACATTTTCATTACTGAAAAGAAAAAGGTAAAGTGAAAATATAGTTCTGTTCCAGACATTCTTTTACTATGAAAGCAATTTCATGTGTGAGACTATTAAAATATTATAATAAAGCATATTTCTATTACCGAAGAGAAAAATGATAACATGAAACTACAGTACAATATTCACACTCAGGTTGTAATGTGAAAGCAACTTTGTGTTGGAACGTGAGCACGGAATACCAAAGTGTTAGAAGTTGATAAATTGGCAAGAATATTGAATTTTAGACTTGTGAGGAGATAAAACTTCCCCCTCAATAAATGAGTATAGTTTGTTGCCTGTCAGCTTAGTCGTCTAAGGCGCCGCGATTCGCTGTGCAGAGTTGCGTCCCTTGGGCACGAAAGAAACCTATGATTGTGGGTTCGAATCCCAGTTCCCCCTGATTATGTTTCTAGGTTTGTCAGCACCATACCCGTGCTCGTGCATTTCACCGAAGTGGTAAACGTCTGAGACCTGCATCACTTCGGGCTTTCCTCCCATATTAATCTGATACACTGTGATACAACTAGAATAATGTTAAAAGTGGTGCTAAACCCAACTCACTCACTCACTGTTGCCTATCACATGATAGTGTTTTAAATCCCATGATGGGATGCATACCAGTGACCTTGGCCTTCAGGAAAGTGGTCAGATTGTTTGATTCGCATGATACCATGCTTATTAAAGATTATTGCACTTATATAGCGACGTGCATGTACGTGTGTGTGTGTGGCTGCTTGTACTAGTCTGGACTGATGCCGATTTATAGTGCTAGCTCACTGAGATACCATGCCGCAGTTTAACATGAATACCCCACTCAGACACAGTATACTGACTCCGAGCCGACCAGTCCTTGTTTTAGCCCCTTAATGCTGAGCGCCAGACAGGGTAACAACCATCTCTTAACGTCTTTTGGTATGACGTGGCCGGGGATTGAACCCCGGACCTTCCGCTCTCTGGGCAGACACTCTACAACTAGACCACGGAGGCGGTCGGAACACTGATGAAAGCTGAAGTAAGCAAACCGTTTGTTTCAGGAACTGAGAGGTGAAGCGTGGGTATTTGAAGACAAGGCAATAGCTTTTGTGAATGGGCAGCTGATAGGTGGACCGGAGGACTTCCTCCTCTGGGCGGAGGAAAACTACAGCTTTGAGGAGTTCCGACCAGAAGCTCTGTATGAGACTCTCACAGAGGAGGGGTACAAAAAGCACCTCAATTCAACTGATGTAAGTACTAGCATCATAGTATTGTTTCAGTGGGACTTGCCAGACATTACTCATTTATAAATAGGCTTATTTCATGCCTCTCGTTTTAACTTTTATTGTACCGGTAAGTGATATTTTTCAAGAAAAAAACTCTTAACCTATTAAACCTCCTCAGTGTCTGACATAGCTGTCTGCAGCTCTCCCGAGGCTGGTAACATGTCTGTCGGGACAGGTGTAATTGATTCCAACCAGCCTGATACTGACAAATTTGAATGAGACATTGACATGGGACTCACTAACCTGAGAGCAGGGGCTACCTCAGTGATTATGAAGCTGTGAATGTTAACACAATCTCATCAAAATCACACCTCAGTTCTCGCTACCGCTAAACAAAGATCTGAGGACATCCCATTACGGGTCACCTCAGAACGACCTTTCATCCGACCAATCAGAGCATCGCTTACCAGATTATGAAAGTGACAATTGGAATGTGATTTCTGATCACGCAGCCTCGAAAACTTTAACTCCGAATGATAGTTACGGGTTTAACGACTGTATCCATACAATCTAGATCTAGACCATCTGTTAGCTATTCCAGAATGTTCTTTTGTTCAGGTTTCAAATTTGTAATCGAGAATTTGTCAAAATATGCTTCGAAGCGTAATCGCCAATTTGCAATTAGTGCCGTAAAGCACGAGAAAGCTGCCTTCTGATTGGTCATTCCATTGGTCGGTCAATGTCGCGCAAGGTCGGTCTGACGTGACCCGTAATGGGATGTCCTCTGATCTTTGTTTAGCAGTAGTGAGAACTAAGATCTGATTTTAATGAGATTGATGTTAACAGCACAGAACAATGTAAATCTGTAAAAAATGAGAGTGATTATTTATAGTTACAAAATGCAGGCCTGTCACTTAAGACAGTTACATGTTTTATTCAAGTAACGACTGTTGTAAGTCGTTAGCTCTATGATCGCTTTGTACAAGGGCACCCCGGACTCCATAGCATGACTATATAATGTTTTGATATGTACTGAATCAAAATAAAAGTATTCAAGTTGATGGAGATTCAGCATATTGTAACTTCCCTCCTCTGCATCAGCATGCCCCATGGCGTGGATTGGTGCTCACAATATCGATCACTGGATTGTCTGATCCAGGTTGTATCATTTACAGACCTCGCTCCTATAGCTGGAATATTGCAGCGTCAAACTATAAACAAAACAATTCCCGACATGCAAGCTTGTGCCAGTCAAACGATCATCTGTTCAGTGTGTGATATACAGTGATGCCTTATTAATCTGGATTGGCCCGTTTGGTGTAAAATCTACCAGATGAATTACTAGGTATTAATTAAGACATACCAATAAGTTCTTGTCTGTACGGATGAAAAAATAGTCTTGGTTCTCATCATAAAGTCTGCCGCACATTTCGTTTATTTCCATTTAAAAATAATTAATCCTAATACTTAAAAACAACACGATCCAGTATAGCACACAGTTACTTCCCTTTACATGACACTGCTTTACTGCACATCTTGTGTTATGGTCATGGCGGCAATAGGAGTTTGTATGCTTGTTTATATAGGGAGGCCCTTTCCCAGGTTGATGGTACACAACTGTTTATTTGGTTACATACTAGTTTGAACAAGCCCCACACACCCCACACCCTAAAAAACAACAACAAAAAAAACAAAAAAAACCCCTGTCTGCCCGCACTTTATTTTCAAAAGTTATTGCCTGAGAACCAATTCTTTATTTTTGTAAGCCTAAAGTAGTGTTTTCAGATTAACAAGGTCAGTACTAAGAAGGCTTCACTGTAGACAACACTATGTGATGATGGGAGCCGGTGCAAGTCAGTTAGTCTCACATCATCTTTGTTCTTTCAGCATGACTTTGTGTACATGGATGTGAAGATTGGCAACGAGCCAGCTGGGAGATTAGTCATAGAGGCAAGTATTCTATAATGCTTTCACATGCATGCAGTTTAGTTTAGATTTCTCTGACTTGAACCATGTTATGGTTAATACATTATTTCTCATTTCTTATATAATCTTGCATGATGACCTATAGTGGACTTGTTTCATCAGCATGACTTAGAAGTTGAAGGATGACAAAGTAGTTATGGATAATAACTTCTTAATATAAGGACATGGCTCCATTATGACAGGCTCCGCTATCAGGCATGATAGCGGAACTTCAAATTAAGACAAGAGATATTATTGGATGAAATGGTCGCGGATGTGGAGGTACTGGTGGACTACAGCAATGAGCTTAACCCCTGTTAAGCAACCCCAACTGCAGCAACCGCTGCCCTGCAACTACCGTTGCCAAGCAACCCATGTGACTTACCAATGCAGTGCCCGCTGCCCTGCAACTACCGTTGCCAAGCAACCCATGTGACTTACCGATGCAGCGCCCGCTGCCCTGCAACTACCATTGCCAAGCAACCCATGTGGCTTACCAATGCAGTGCTTGCTGCCCTGCAACTACTGTTGCCAAGGAACCCATGTTGCTATGCAGCTAGCGCTGCCAGGCAAGTACCATTGCCAAACCATGAGTGAGGGCAACTATTGTTGCCAAGCTGACCATCCGCTGTAAAGCGGACACCAAACCATCTGCTGTAAAGCAGAATGGATAAATTGGTTCCAGCTGTAAAGAGGGCAACCCCATCCTATATAATTTATTATTTGGGATGTAACCCAAGACGCCAAATGTAACTTGTAATGCAATCCACCAGCACCCCGCCCATCCGCAACATTTTATTCATGACGACATCATTATATACAAACATAATGCTCCAGTAAAGTTCCACCAAATTGACAACTGCAAAGCTTGAACAACTTGGAAATAAGGATAACAGGGTGTGTGCAACAAACTACAGATGAATGCGCGAATATGTGTTGTATGGCTGAAAGCTGGAGAGCAAGTGCTGCGTGAGGTCATAGAAAATATAAACAAACACTCCTATACCGGACGTGCCAAGAGCAAATCTAGACCAGAGACGATGGCACCATGCAAATCAGCACATAGCCGCACGGAATGAAGGTATTTAGCTGTAATAATATTAGCAATGGTGCCAAGTCTGACATAAAGGCATTTAGTTCTAATCACTAAATGCTATTAATTTAAATTACTGTGAAGGAAGCTTTTCGGATCCTTATACCGTTGTCAAGCAAGATTGAACGATGAACATGGCACAGAATATATATAGTAGGTGGAGGATTAACGGTAACTATTTTAACAATTGCATACGTGAGGGGGGTTAACATGAGTAAGTAATGACAACAGAGGGATAATACTGTCACAATATGATGGACAGAGCACACATGAGGTGGAAGCCACTGAGACAGGAAGCCAATTAAACTGTGAGGATAAGTATATACATATAGGTGTGGTGATTATTGCTTAATGAGTTCATCATAAGTAGGCGGATGGGATGAAAACATTGGCTGCCACAAGCCATCAATCAACAGAGGTCAAGGCTACTCCTTTACTGTGTAGCCACCAACATGATCAAGTACAACTGCCTGGAGGTGGGGCGATCAATCATTATTGTGTGATAGGGACCAGTCATTATTGGATATTGCAACACTACTCAGTCTAATTGACCAATCAGATTGCGAGCTACAAACAAGCCTCAAATTTGGACTGGCGATATCAACACAACATGGTTACCTGGGTTGCATTGATTACAATAGAGTTTGCAAGAAATTCAACATTGAAAAACTCATCTACACGCAAAAGAAAATCCTCCAAAATCTTGTTGGTGGTCTTCTTGTCCATTAAAACTGGCTATGGCAAGTTCTCTATTATCCATTTCCTTATCTCGAAATTTCATTGGTTGTTAAAATGATAATAAAAATCAAGGGCGGGTAATTTGAGGTCGCAAATACCACGGGAAGGGATCCAGGGGTATGTGCAGGTGTAGCACGCCCTGGAGGTAGAGGATGTGTCATGGCACAACAGCTTCACTATAGTCATATGAAAGTATTGGGTGTTCTTTAACTTGCTTTCATTAGAAAATGTATATGGTGCAGCAGTCACTGGCATAATGTAGGTAGCATCGTTACTGTTACACAGATTGCTGACAACAGTCAAAAAACCCTCATTCACTATTTTTGTCATTCAGTGACACGTTTTAAGGGTTATAAGCAGGGATTTGGAAACCAGTCTGTGCACCAGACTTGTCCGATTGTGACTGCTAAATGTCCCATTTGAAATAGTGCAAGCTGGACATTTTAAAATTTGCCAACAGAACATTTTCGACCTTATAACTTTTAAGGTACTTGATTTTCTCGTTACACGTCAACATGGGTGCACAACGTGACAGTTCCAATTTTCGTGTTCAATTTCTCTTTTAAGATTTTTGATTCTAAGTTATTGAAAATTATTAATTATTTACGCTACTGTGTTAAAAAAAACAATAAAAAACTCTCACAATCTTGAGCCTTAATGTATAATGTTATGTTCATTTAAAACTTCTATTTTCTATGAAGTATTTGTTACACTGGTTAATGGGTTCCAAGTTATTTTTTTCAGTTTAGAACTATATGTCGTGTTTTTGTTGCTGGTGTTACCGAGATGTTCCAGATGAAGTGTAATCTCTGTTCCTGTTGTAGCTGTTCAGCAAGGACGTTCCGAGAACATGTGCCAACTTCAAGGCTTTGTGCACGGGGGAGAAGGGAGAGTCACCTGAAACACGCTACAACCTCACCTACAAGAATTCCTTGTTTCACAGAATCGTCCCCAATGGTTGGATTCAAGGGGGAGGTAACTGATGTTTGACTACTTAAGGAATAGCCTAGAAATTATGGATTATCTGTCCTGAGAGAATTAATATTGTAAGTCCTAAGTACGGTGATTCACGACGGACAGATAATACATAATTCAGAGTTAAATTCATTTACACATTACCAGTATTTTATTTGTAAGAAGTCGGTGACCTGGTCACTGGAGGGCCCCTAGCTTGCTGTCAGTGTTCAGAACAAAGATGCATACAATCTTCTATGATGTTTTGGACAATGGATGACATCATCTTCAATCAAATGCAAAAATTCACTGTCATAACAGCATATGTGCAGGGCCGTTTTGGAGACAATTACAGAAGGCTTGAACGAGCCAATTTCTTTTCTTTAGAATGAGTATGGTTTTACGCCGCTTTTAGCAATATTCCAGCAATATCGCGGCGGGGGACACCAGAAATGGGCTTCACACATTGTACCCATGTCGGGAATCGAACCGAGGTTTTCGGCGTGACGAGCGAATGCTTTAACCACTAGGCTACCCGACCGCCCCTTTTCTTTAGAAAGAACAAACTGTATTCTTTAGCCACTTTATTACAGTCTTCTATCAGAGACCATTCTCTGCTTCTATATAGGATGGTCAGGTCACACTTTAATAAAAACAGTTGCGAAATGGATTTTGACTTCTTGATATTTCAATCCGGTATTTATTGTTGTGTAACGTGAGGCATATTATTCCAGTAAAGCAGGAACTTGTTTATTTCAGTGTACGCATGATCAAATTGTTTTATGTCTATCTACATAATTTGTTCCAGGGCTCCGGTAAAACAATTCACAATCGGACATTACCCTACTCATGAGACGTACAGCAGGTTCTGGGGTAGTTGGGTGATGGGGGCTCGGGTACCCGGTAGTAAATTTGGACTTGTTCCAGGCTAAGTTGAAATATGCGAGCACAGCGTGACTGTGATGGGTGTCCATGTGACATCCTTGATGTGCATGCCTATGTCTGTCACTCCTGCATCAGTAGCTCTGCGGTGCACATCTACTCGCTACATATCCCTCCACACTTTTAACTGTAAACATCACAATATGTGCACACGCCATATGACATCACAGGTATGTTGGCTGCAGCTAATGTGCTTACTCAGGAACATGGGACTAGACTGCTCAGGTATATACACCAGTGTCCACAGTTCTGCAGTCTGCGTCTTTAGCCTCTAGTCCGAAGCCCGAGTCTAATACAAATCTTTTCATTCTAGTATTAGTTTAGCTGGTAATAGTCCATATAATAACATGAAAATCTGCTGAAAATGATGCTACGTGCTATGTTTGGAGTAGCAGACTCAAACGTTTGTGGTACAGAATGGTTCTGGTGTTCCTTCTGTGTTTACAAGTACATGTTTGTATCAATAACTGATCAACATTACATCAGAAGGTACACATAAAGTGTGCACTATTGAGTTTACCAGGAAATGAAGGGAGATAACTCCAGCAAGTTTATCAGACTGCGCAATATTCAAATTCATTCCTCTGTTCATTAAACCTGGTTCCCTCACGACAGCCCATCTCTGCGAGTATAAAGCCACAATGTCAAGACTACTTGATACCTGTAACTCAAGATTTTAGACACAATAAGAAACATTAACATATGCTGTATCTGAAAGGAAGTTTTATTTAAATGATGGGGACTTATCTTTTACTTGTCAAGACCATCTATCTTTCTGTTGTGATAACCTGATCCTCAAATATGATACAGCTAATCTGTGTATGTGTGTCAGCAACATGAAACATCTACCTGTGGATGTACATGTATTTGGAAGCTCTGCTTATGTTAGCGATGTCTTTTTGTCATTTCAGCATTGACATAACAAGAGTTAATTGTAAAGTAGGCTCCAGAGGAACTGGCATAAGATGTTATCGTTTGCAGTTCTTGTTGGGGCCTAGTGTAGTTAGAAATATGTTCTGTAAGTTGGAATTGTTTATTTTCTCCAGATATTTACCATGGTCGAGGAAATGGAGGCGAGTCTATCTACGGGCCAGCCTTTGAAGGTAAATCTACTTAGACAAGCAAACTGTCACGCAAAACACAGGAGGTGTGTCATTCTACAATAATAATGATTCGTTGCATGTGGTGAGATCAGGTTTTCTGATATTTGTTCAAAGTATTCTTTTTCAAATGAGCTCCAGGTAAAGAAACATCTCCCAGCCTTTAGATAATTTTGGTAAACAATTTGTAATTTCAAGTTACTTTTTTGTTTGTTGGTTAACGCCACACTCAGCAATAATCCAGCTGTAAGATAACAACCTGTAAATAATGAATTCTGGACCAGACAATCCAGTGATTGATATTGTGCAAAAAATCTATCCCCGCTGGGTGTGAGATGGCATGCTGTCAACCATGACACCCAGCATGCCCATCTGATCCCGCTAGAAATTACGTAACTGTTTAATCACGATATAATTCACCATTGACATAAGAGTAGGAAAACCCTGGTTTAAGCTGACCATCTTATAAGTTATGGCAATTTTGTGATTCTAGACATATACACATGTCATTGCTACGTGGTATTTCCTATTGTGGTTGCAGACTTTGGTAAGGTTTTAAGGCAGCCTAACGTTGGTTGTATTTCTTTCACAGATGAGAACTTCTCAGTACTCCACAACAAGCGAGGGATAGTCAGCATGGCCAACAAAGATCGACACACGAACGGCTCCCAGTTCTTCATCACGCTCCAGCCAGCAAAATGGATGGATACAAAATATGTTGCATTTGGGTCAGTAGAAGCAGTGTAGAACTTGTATACTCCCCAGGGAGCTGAGAATGAAACATTAAGTGTACACTGTGCACATAATACCCAAGTTACAAGGGTGCAGTTAACATGTAAAGTGTCTGACAAAAGAGTGGGCTACACATCCCTTCTGCCGGTGCCATGGTTCAAATCATAATGGCACAGTTAAAATAAGTTCCTGGGCCTCAGTGCACAAAGCTATCTTAGCGCTAAGGTTATTGTAAATCCCATAATACTTTAACACTGGCTTATACAGGCATGTAAAGGGCACGCTCAGAAATGTTGTCTTGTTTCGATGTACAAGAATGTACTGTCACAAATTAAACTGTGGAAATACATGGTAAATAAGCTTGTTAATGTACAGTAGGATTCACAAGCCTGAGATTCAGGAATTCAATTCCAAAGGACCGACCTAATATTTTTCGTGCTTGCAGTGTAATTTAATGTCACAAATTAAATGGGGCAAACACATGGAAAATGAGCAGAGAAACATGCTAATTGCACAATTTGACTCATCTTCCCAATGCAAGGGAAATAGCTATGTGGTGGAGAATTGTCAACGCGCTTGTTGACGGTTTGACGGGGAATTAACTCTTGGGGGAATAAAGGAGAAAATCGACATCACTGTCCCCGAACGCTTTATGCACAACATGTAAACAATAAACAACTACTGCACAATGAGCGGAATACCTGCTCTGACAACACAAACACAGCGATGAGCGGACCTTCCAGCTCAGGCGTACAAGAGGTGAGCGGAGCTCCAGCTCACCTCAGGGCGTTTCCTACGAGCGGCACATCCTGCTCAAGGTCGTCCCTATGCCAGCACTCAGAATACCAAGCCTGACTAACACCGTAGTAACTGTGTAATGGTAGCACATATATAGTACTGAACAATGGAAATACAATGACGTTGCTCTAGACATGGGACTTCCGGGGGTGACGTACCGACACAACTAAGGGGATGAACAATTAAGGCAATAAATGTCATACTATAAATAACAGTAATTAACGGGAAGTGATAAAGTAGCCCAGGTTGGCTGTCAGTCAATGTACAATGAAATGTTGGTGAGGATTAACAACGGGATTAGCGCCTAATGACAATTAAGTTATGGAGACATGGCTACAGGGTAATTTGCCTATGGAGTCAAATGTACTTCAGACAGTGGTAGTCATAAATCAGTCGCTATGACACTACCATCGAGCACAGAAATTCCAGCCTAGTTTAGCAAGGATAGAAACTGTACTTTTAGAGTCAGTTAACTCCCTTAAATTCATGGCACTCTTGAAAATAAATCTATTTCTATGCCTGGTGTTGGCTTCCTGACACAGTGATAGACTTGTCTCTACCATTGGGTCTGGGTTTGAATCCCTACATGGTGGTAATGTCCCAATGATCCGTCTTTATTGTGCTGTTTGGTTATTCAGTACAACAAACGAATGATTATATACCTATCTAATTAGTTATTCAGCCATTTTTTAAAGCATGGGACCCGTGAAGATCCGGGGTAGAATAGGTCAGCAACCCATGCTTGCTGTGAAAGGTGACTATGCTTGTCGTAAGAGCAACTAACAGGATCGGGTGGTGAGGCTTGCTGACTTGGTTGATGCATGTCATCATATCCCAATTGCGTGGATTGATGCTCATGATTTCAATCAGTGGATTGTCTGGCCCAGACTCGATTATTTACATACAGCCGTCATATAGCTGGAATATTGCTGAGTGTGGCGTTTATGATTGTGATATTGACATGTTGCACATGTGTTTATGATTGTGATATTGGCGTGTTGCACATGTGTTTATGATTGTGATATTGGCATGTTGCACATGTGTTTATGATTGTGATATTGGCATGTTGCACATGTGTTTATGATTGTGATATTGGCATGTTGCACATGTGTTTATGATTGTGATATTGGCGTGTTGCACATGTGTTTATGATTGTGATATTGGCGTGTTGCACTTGTGTTTATGATTGTGATATTGGCGTGTTGCACATGTGTTTATGATTGTGATATTGGTGTGTTGCACATGTGTTTATGATTGTGATATTGGCGTGTTGCACATGTGTTTATGATTGTGATATTGGTGTGTTGCAACTTGCACATGTGTTTATGATTGTGATATTGGCGTGTTGCACATGTGTTAATGATTGTGATGTTGGCGTATTGCACATGTGTTTATGATTGTGATGTTGGCGTGTTGCACATGTGTTTATGATTGTGATATTGGCGTATTGCACATGTGTTTATGATTGTGATGATGGCGTGTTGCACATGTGTTTATGATTGTGATATTGGCTTGTTGCACATGTGTTTATGATTGTGATGTTGGCGTGTTGCACATGTGTTTATGATTGTGGTATTGGCATGTTGCACATGTGTTTATGATTGTGATGTTGGCGTGTTGCACATGTGTTTTATGATTGTGATATTGGCGTGTTGCACATGTGTTTATGATTGTGATGTTGGCGTGTTGCAGCCAGGTGATCGAGGGCACGGAGACGTTAAGGAAGATGGAGCAGCAGGAAACAATGAACGAGCGACCCAACCAGGAGGTCAAGGTCACTCATTGTGGGGTCTGCACATATGAGTTTTGAGATCATTTGAAATATGTTCTTGAGATATGTTACATGTGATAAGGCCAAATTGAGATCATGTTTTACGTTTTTATTCGAAAATAGATGTAAATAAATGTCCTTACCAGCAACCATATGCAAAAATAGAAGAAACACGATAAAAGAGCTATCCCAACATGGCTGTCTGATAAAAATAGATTCAGACAAAAATATATCTATACATATCACAAAAGTGATGCAATGCATATACAACCAGGAACCAGTCCATGAGAAGGGTTTAATTGGAGTATTTGACACATGAAATTATGTCTTCATGGAGAACATGACAGAGTAGGGGTCAGTGAGCAAGGACAGGTCATTTTGAATGAAACAGAACTTGTAAAAAACATCTGTAAACATTTGAGTTTAGAGTGCATCAGTAGATTCCAGAAACACATAGGTCATCAACGAAACTTGTAAATCTGATCTTGGTACTGGAATAATGCATACAGAAGGGAGAGGTCAGATCAGATTGGTTAACATGGTGTTACTGTGCATTGCTATCTACTCTTGATGTATTTTTAAGGCTTGACATTTCCATTTTTTGATTTACATATTTGGAAAGATATTGGGAAAGATTTTGTTAGTAGGTCAACCAAACAGATTAAATAAAAGGCATTGTACTGGATGTTTCATGTTAAAGTTTGATTTGGATCGGTAGGGATAAAAAAAATCACCTACCGATCTAAAATCTGACTAAAATAATGACTATTTTTTTAAAAGAATTTTGTTTTCATCAAATAAAGTCCCTTGGCTTGTTTTATTGTCAAAATGATCTTTACCATCCACAGTTAATGAAAAATTGTCATTCTGATGTTTTTCCTCTGAATTGTATATTTTTAAAACTGGCCTAATTGAGAACAGGAAAAGTTAGTTTCTATTTCAGTACCACATTCCTGTACCTTTGGGGGGAAGTCAGATTGGACTATCTATTTACTATTTTATTTCTTGACATCAGTCAAAAATATTGTGAATACAGTTTCATTTCCTTAACTGCCCAGTCATGCTAGGACAGAAAGTCATGTGACTATGTCTCGTAGTGATATGTGTGTTAGCAGCAGTGGTCATCAGCTGATCAGTACATGTGGGTTGTTTATTTCGACATGTTTTTATTGCCTTCTTGCATTGTCATATAGTTTTTAATATTGTATATATTTCATATTGGATTAAAAATCAACTTGCAGGTGTTTCTTATATTCTTTTTATAAGTGAAATGAAAGAGGGTTTAACGTTGCACTCAAAGTTAATACATTTATATAATGACGTACATGTGAGTGTTGGTGTACGTGCGCGCGCGTGTGTGTGTGTGCGTGTGCGTGCGTGCGTGCGTGCGTGCGTGCGTGTGTGTGTGTGTGTGTATGTGTATTAGTCTTATTTTGCTAGAACTCTGAGATACCATGCCGCAGTTAACACATGGATACACCACTACCAAGACACAATACACTGATTCTGAGTTGACCAGTCCTTCTTTTATCCCCTTTATGCCCAGCGCCAGACATGGTAACAACTGTCATCTTTTTAACATCTGCGGTATGACGCAACTCAGCATCCAACTTCTGACCTAATGCTTTCTGGTAGGTGCTCCATCCACGAGACCATGGAGCCAGTCTCAGGTAGACGCTCTATCCACTAGACCATGGAGCCAGTCTCAGGTAGAGGCTCTATCCACTAGACCATGGAGCCAGTCTCCGGTAGGTGCTCTATCCACTAGACCATGGAGCCAGTCTCAGGTAGATGCTCTATCCACTAGACCATGAAGCAAGTCTCAGGTAGACTCTCTATCCACTAGACCATGAAGCCAGTCTCAGGTAGACTCTCTATCCACTAGACCATGGAGCCAGTCTCAGGTAGACTCTCTATCCACTAGACCATGGAGCCAGTCTCAGGTAGACTCTCTATCCACTAGACCATGAAGCCAGTCTCAGGTAGACGCTCTATCCACTAGACCATGGAGGCGGTCTCCGATAGACTCTCTATCCACTAGACCATGGAGCCAGTCTCAGGTAGACTCTTTATCCACTAGACCAAGGAGGCGGTCTCAGGTAGACGCTCTATCCACTAGACCAAGAAAGGGGTCTCAGGTAGACGCTCTATCCACTAGACCATGGAGCCAGTCTCAGGTAGACGCTCTATCCACTAGACCAAGAAAGGGGTCTCAGGTAGAGGCTCTATCCACTAGACCATGGAGCCAGTCTCCGGTAGACGCTCTATCCACAAGACCATGGAGCCAGTCTCAGGTAGACGCTCTATCCACTAGACCATGGAGCCAGTCTCAGGTAGACGCTCCATCCACTAGACCATGGAGCCAGTCTCCGGTAGGTGCTCTATCCACTAGACCATGGAGCCAGTCTCAGGTAGATGCTCTATCCACTAGACCATGAAGCAAGTCTCAGGTAGACTCTCTATCCACTAGACCATGAAGCCAGTCTCAGGTAGACTCTCTATCCACTAGACCATGGAGCCAGTCTCAGGTAGACTCTCTATCCACTAGACCATGGAGCCAGTCTCAGGTAGACTCTCTATCCACTAGACCATGAAGCCAGTCTCAGGTAGACGCTCTATCCACTAGACCATGGAGGCGGTCTCCGATAGACTCTCTATCCACTAGACCATGGAGCCAGTCTCAGGTAGACTCTTTATCCACTAGACCAAGGAGGCGGTCTCAGGTAGACGCTCTATCCACTAGACCAAGAAAGGGGTCTCAGGTAGACGCTCTATCCACTAGACCATGGAGCCAGTCTCAGGTAGACGCTCTATCCACTAGACCAAGAAAGGGGTCTCAGGTAGAGGCTCTATCCACTAGACCATGGAGCCAGTCTCCGGTAGACGCTCTATCCACAAGACCATGGAGCCAGTCTCAGGTAGACGCTCTATCCACTAGACCATGGAGCCAGTCTCAGGTAGACGCTCCATCCACTAGACCATGGAGCCAGTCTCAGGTAGACTCTCTATCCACAAAACCATGGAGGCGGTCTCTGGTAGACGCTTCATCCACTAGACCATGGAGGCAGTTTGCATGATGCTGAAGTAAAGGTAATGAAAACTAAACAAGACGTGTGCTGAAATGCTTTATTGATATCACGTAATCGGCATGCAGATCTGGACCATCGATCTGCATCCTCCTCCTATTCACTCGCAAAGTCTTCCTCGAGTTTGCAAAGCCGGGGCTGAAAGGAGACAATTGAAGCTCATTCATACATCTAGACTTGTATATATTACCAAATGTCCTGTGCTATGCTTCAAATCAACCATTAGAATCACAGGTGGCCTTTTGTTCCCAGGATCCAAAATCCGGAGTCACAGATGGCCTTGTGGTCCCAGGCTCTGGAGTTACAGGTGGCCTTGTGGTCCCAGGCTCTGGAGTTACAGGTGGCCGTGTGGTCACAGGCTCTGGAGTTACAGGTGGCCTTGTGGTCCCAGGCTCTGGAGTCACAGGTGGCCTTGTGGTCCCAGGCTCTGGAGTCACAGGTGGCCTTGTGGTCCCAGGCTCTGGAGTCACAGGTAGCCTTGTGGTCCCAGGCTCTGGAGTCACAGGTGGCCTTGTGGTCCCAGGCTCTGGAGTCCAGGATCCGCTGATCTTCCCTATCATAATTATTGATGGTGCCAAACCAGCGTATCACTCACTCACTCACTCACTTTGATATGTTTTACAACAACCACTTCTATTCTACTTGCTGGTTTAATTACCTGAATCCATTAGGGCCTGAATGCTTCTCCAGACCTCTGCCACACTCACAGCTGAATCGCCTGGAATGAATTGACCAATCAACTTATATTTTTTACATGAAAATGATCTGAAAGCAGCTCCTGGGCTTCTCGTCTCTCCATCAGTTCCTCAAGATCATCCACATTTAGCTTTCCTGAAAACAACATATCACCTTCAAACCTTTCGAATGTGTGAGTAAGTTGGGTTTAACAGTATTCCGGTTATATCGTGGCGTTCCAGCTTAATGTGGGAGGAAAGCCCGAAGTGATGCAGGTCTCGGACGTTTACCATGTCGGTGAAACCCACGAGCACCGGCAGAAACCTAGAAACCCAATCGGGCGCACTGTGAACCCAAAATCATATATTTCTGGTATGACCAGGAACACAACTCTGCACATGGAACTGCGGTGTCTTAGACGACTGGACCACTCAAGACAACTCGGACTTCATTACCCCCACTATGTTGGAATAACAAAAAGTCCACAATCCTTGACCAATACTGGTGTGTCCCATTTTAAATCTGGAAACCCATTTGTCCAGAAATTAACCTCGTTGTGATAAGTCACAAAAGCCCATTAGTGTGCAAAATCAGGAAGTTTTTATGGTTTAAAATTTGAAAAAAATAAAATAAAAAATGTTTTCTTTGTTTAGAATGTCCCATGAAAACATCATGTTGTAACCTGTTTATACTTTCCATCGACACTGGTACCAGCAGTGAGGCAAATGACCTTTCAGCACATGAAAAAAGGACGATCTAATTTGTAATTAAGACCAGTTTTAGTTAAGTACGCGTTTATAGCTCTTGTGTGTGAACATTCCTGGCCAGTAAGTATGCAAACAAAATGTATATGAGCATGTTGCCATGTTCACAGTGAAAGTTTGTTGTTTAACGCTGCACTCAGCAATAATGCAGTATGGACCAGACAATCAAGTGATTGGCATCTTGAGCAACGATCAACACAATCGGGATACGTTGACAAACATCAGCCAAGTAGGCGAGCCCATCTTCCCGAGGCAAGGGAGTTAACTGACTATAAAAGTCCCTTGGGACTACATGGATTTTTATAGTCAGTTAACTCCCTTGCCTTTGAAAGATGAAGGAACCTGACCACGCGATCCCGTTAGTCGCCTCTTTCGACAAGCATATAGTCGCCTCTTACGACAAGCATAGTCGCCACTTTCGACAAGCATATAGTCGCCTCTTTCGACAAGCATAGTCGCCTCTTTCGACAAGCATATAGTCGCCTCTTTCGACAAGCATATAGTCGCCTCTTTCGACAAGCATATAGTCGCCTCTGTCGACAAGCATATAGTCGCCTCTTTCGACAAGCATAGTCGCCTCTTTCGACAAGCATAGTCGTCACTTATGACAAGCATAGCCACCATACGACAAGCATGGGTTGCTGGAGATCAAATGTAACCCTTATGTTCAAGGTTGTCAGAGTGTAATTAAGACTTACTTGTGGCGTTATTTAACCCATTGTAACCTATTGCTCTGAAAACAGAACTTTTCACGTAGTTTTCCACTTTCCTATTTAGGGTGGGTGGAATCATTTTTTAAAAAGCCTACATTTAACCATTGTCCAAGCTGTTGGACACAATTATTTCATCTCACCGAATGGGCTGATGCGTCTCTATGTCCTGTATATCATTGATGCAGTTCCAAAACGTCACCCGACTCTGAGCGATCGTTTTCTGATGAACCATCCATCCGACTCCGGCAGTACCACCATCGCCACAAGCAGGAGGGCAAGGAACAAGCGCATCTTTGAGGGATAGTTAAGAAGGACCTAACGATAGTGAGTGAGTGAGTGAAAGCGCAAGGATGAAAGCGCAAAGTCATGCAGGTCTCAGACGTTTACCACTATGCTGAAAACCAAGAGCACGGGTATGGTGCTGACAAAGCTGGAAACATAATCAGGGCGAACCGGAATTAGAACCCGCAATCACAGGTTCCTTGTGTGCCCAAGGGACGCAGCTCTGTACAGTGAATTGCGGCGCCTTAGACTGGTCCTCCCGTGCCCCCTGACCATCCTTAAATGTACTTTTGGAACAGAAGTATAACTAAAATCCAGTGATTGACATCATGAGCATCCATCTACGCAATTGTGATACGATGACATGCATCAACCCAAGTCGCCGATCCCGACCACGCGATCCCTTTAGTCGCCACGCACGACAAGCATGGGTTGTGGAAGATCAGTTTTAACCAGGATCTTTAGGGGTTGCATACAGCCACTCACCCACACACTTGAAAACTTGTATTGAAGTCTTCTAAATGTAATGTCTGTTGAAATATATGAATGACACGTATAAAATATGGAATCACTTTAGATAACGAAACAAAGATTACGTCTGCACATTTTCCAGTTAATTCATTTCCGACGAAAGTGAATGAGGAAGTTAGTTGGGTTAACGCCGCTTTGAACAGCATACCAGTTATAACACGGCTTGTCAGCGTGATGTGAGAGGATAGCCCGAATTGATGCAGGTCTCAGGCGGGGGGATGGGTATGATGCTTACAAACATAATGAATGTGAACCGGGATTCTGGTGTATCCAAGGGACGCAACTCTGCACAGCAAATTGCGACATCTACACGACTGGGCCACCCGTGCCACCGGGTAGTCACTTGATAATTATAGAAACATCATACACGTGAACATAGGGTGGGAGTTATCCTTGTGAAACGTTAGTCGCCATCGAAGTTATATGCACACCGAACAAGCCACTACCGTTATAGGCTTGAGCGTTGCGAAATACATCGTGCAATGAATGACAGTCGAGCTAGCCATTACTTAACACATTCTCCCTGACCTGTTATCTGCGAGAGCAACGTGTACGAGCGGGTTGGTGAAACCAACGTGCACGGGCATGGTGCTAACAAAGATACGTAGATTACATATCTCCATGACATTTGCGGTAGAGCGGAGTTTATTATTCTAAACGTCACAATGCTATCACTCCCTTTTTTTAAACTGAGAGTGTTGGATACTCATAGATTCAGAGACGCTCTTCATATCTGGCCGATTGAATGAATGAGATGAGTTGAACGCCGCTCTGAACAGTATTTTGTTAATACCACTACTATACTTGTCGTGAGAGGCGATAACGGGATTGGGTGGTCAGGCTCGTTGACTTGGTTGATGCATGTCATCGTATCCGTAGATCGATGCTCATGATGTCTATCACTGCATTGTCTGGTACTGACTCGATTATTTACAGACCGCCGTCATATAGCTGGAATAGTGCTGAGTGCGGCGTTCAACCAACCAACCAACCAACCAACCAACAAACAAACAAACAAACAAACAAACAAACAAACAAACAAACAAACCACTGAGTGTCACGGGAGGAAACCACAAAGTGGTGTAAATCTTGAATTTTACGCTCATAGGATCCTGGTACACCTAAGGGACACAATTCTTCACGGCGAATACCGGCGCCTTACGCTACTTGACCGCCCGTGCACCTGAAAGTAAATATAATTTGTCAATGCAAGAGAATAACCAGGCTAGATTATCCGCCAAAACGTATTAAGATTTGGCGTAAAGGGTAACATAGCTGTGAAAATTATATGAATGGACCACTGGAAATCAGTGAAGACACCACGTGGTCGCGAAAAGGGTAATCATGTCCCTCTCTGCCGCCAGCACCCGCCATTCACACAATTTGCGTAAAAATGTAGAATGTGTGTGGGGTCAGTTTTAATGTCTCGGCCCAGCGACGTACTATCAATAGAACATGCCAACGAGACATCAGCTGGAAAAAATATCCGTGTTTGTGGGATACCCTTGAAAACTCCCGGGCAAAATAAAATATACACTTGAAAATTGGATATAACCAACATTTACAAACGTTATCAAAACGTTACTAGGTTGAAAACAGCACCAATACACTGCAACCTCGAGGTACAAAACACAACGGGATACGCGTATCGAATACATCGCCATCGAATACCCATTTCTTTCTGTTTCATTTTGAGCCACCATGGGTGTGTACTTTCTTTTGCCCGGCAGTATACATCGATTGTCACAGACTGGTGTGCGACCCACACATCTCTGTGACACTCCTACAGAACAGTCTAACAATGACTGTTTCATTCATACACAATGCCATGTAGTACATTAATTGGATTCGCGAAGCTTAAACAACAATACGTTTGTAACAAAGACGCTGTTCAGTAATGGTGATGTGCTACGTACAATAGGCCTATTTGTTCCTTACAGTAACACCAAAAGGAAAGCCTTTTTAACATAATACATAATAATTTCCTTTCATGTCAGGTGAGGTCAAATGGAGTTTTTAACGTCGCGTTCAAGAGTATTGCACTTATATAGCGACGTGCATGTTCATGTGTGTGTGTGTGTGTGTGTGTGTGTGTGTGTGTGTGTCTGTGTGTTTGTTTGTGTGAATGAGATTGTTATAGTAGTGCTAGCCCACTGAGATACCATGCCGCTGTTTCACATGGATACCCAAACTGAGGCACAGTTAAAATCCTGACTCCGAACTGAATTGTGCTTGTTTCATCCCCTCATGGGGGCTTCAGCCAGGGTAACAACACGTACCATTTCTGAACGTCTCGTGGTATGATACAGTCGGGGATCGAACCACGACCTTCCACTCTCCACCATAATACGACCCGTGAAGATTCCGGGGTAGAATAGGTCTTCAGAAACCCATGCTTGCCGTAACTGGCGAATATGCTTGTCGTAAGAAGCGATAACGGGATCGGGTGGTCAGACTCGCTGACTTAGTTGATGCATGTCATCGTATCCCAACTGCGTGGATCGATGCTCATGATATTGATCACTGGGTTGTCTGGTCCAGACTCGATTATGTACAGACCGCCGTCATATAGCTGGAATATTGCTGAGTGCGGCGTAAAACGACCAACCACCATAATACGCAGGCGGGTTGACAAACCGCTCACTGTTACACTGTCACGCTCACAAAGCTAACAATGTACAGGGTGTATACAAGATGCAGCTTAGTAATGAAGACATCAGTTAATAACAAGGTATCTGTACTAAAATAAAACTTTATCAAAAGAATTATAAAGCCAAAGGAGACATTTTTGTTTTATTTGACTGGTCTCAGCAAGTTTCACATTTCGCAATAGACAAGTGCGTATATCACATGTGACGGAATCATATTGCACGTGCCATCCATGCCTTCAGTGAATAAAGCGAAACAATCACTTCTCGGGTTACCGCGTTTTGTAACCCGAGTTCATGTGTAGATAAAATAAGATAAGAAGATAGTTTCTTATAATGTTACACAAAAGATAGTCATCATATACCACTGTCGAATATAGATAAAAAGACACTTCTCCCTCTGATCGCTATTCTTGTATTTTATATTCCGATACGTATATGTATCGGTGTATAAAAATTAAAATATATATATAAAAGTTAGTCCAGCAAGCGACACGTTCTCGCGGACTTGTCATAACATATGCAAGAGACAGTGTGTAGAGTGCGGGGTGAGATGAAATAGGGTTTAACATCGGGTTCACCATTGCTACATTATATCGACGTGCGTGCGTGCGTGTGTGTGTGAGTGTGCGTGCGTGTGTGCGTGCGTGCGTGCGTGCGTGCGTGTGTGTGCTAGTACAAGACCGGACAAATACCGGTTTTACTATAGCGCTGGACCACTGAGATACCATACCGCTGTTTGTATGTATATAAAATTTATGGGTGTCCCTGATTATTACACTTATACAGCGACGTACCTGCCACCTAACATAAATTATGACCCGGTCGGGGATCGAACGCACATGATCTATGATTACAGCACAATAACAGTTCAGCACAGCTGACAAAATACAGCGACAGTCTTCATTAAACACACACACGATTATACCATTAAAAACGTCATATTCAAAAGTAAAATTAGTCTACTTTTTATGTATCCAAAGAAATAACGTTATGAAAGGAAAAACACAAATATAACGAGAGTAATAACATATATTTCATATGATTTATAGGATATGTCATTGTTGGACCCTGCGTGTCTATGGCAGTGTGAGTTCATAAGGTCAGCTTCAGGTGACCATTTACACAAAGCATACCATTATATAGTAAGTTTTGTTTGTTTGTTGTTTAACGCTGCACTCAGCAATATTCCAGCTATGTGACGCGCGTGGTCTGTAAAAAGTCATGTTGTGTGGTGGGGTAGCCTAGTGGTTAAAGCGTTCGCTCGTCACGCCGAAGACCCGGAGTCGATTTCCCACATTGGCTCAATGTGTGAAGCCCATTTCTGGTGTCCCCGGCCGTGATATAGCTTGAATATTGACTAAAAGCGTCGTAAAACCATACTATTCACTCACTGACTGCAAGTCGTGTGGCCATTGGGACAAATTGCAAATACCCGCGGGTGGCAGTTATAACGCATTAATGTGAGCAAGACACCAGAACACATTTTTGTTTGTTGACGGATTTTATATTGAAAGAAAAATGCTAATTCTGATCTTATTTTGTTGTAGAATAATCACATCACTTCACACACATCATTTTAAACATTAGTGATGTTTCAATGGCCGCTTACGATGACGACAACAATGTATTCCTCACAACAATAACAACATGTTTATTAGACGACGCATGTGATTGGTTGTAATGTTTCCTCCCTTGTATTATATTTCTAAATGCCATCCACACAACACACGCGATATGCTGGTCACAGACGAGAGGCTGCGTTATAACGAGGTGCCCATCTTGACATTTCTTACCTGTCCAAACGTGACACTGATTTGTAGGTCACCCGGAACTAGATGACAAGCCTGTGTCAATCGCCATGCGCTGTACCGTCTGAGTAACAGTCACAAGCTATTTCGCAGAAAACGGCAATATATATATAGGATATAGGATTTTCACCGGGACATAGCGTTTGCAAGCGACTTGACTCGAGTGAACAGGCTCATGATGAAGATGGCATCTTTGCTGAACCCCAAGTGTTTCATTCCTCTAGCGATGTTGTGCCTCGGCTTGGGGGGCGTTTTCGTCAAAGGTGAGTGAAAAATGTCCACATGTTTGAGTCGTCTGCTCCTTGTCGTCCTCGCCATCCCCAATACGCTGTTGAAACGCCACAAATAGTATCGATTATGTGGTTTATTGACTCATATTTCTTATGTACTAATTTGATTCAGTGTCGAAAGTGGTTGTAAGATTTCGTCTCTTTCGCCTGCGACATTCCACATTCTTTCCCCAACACAATTCTGTTTGAATGGCCATGTCGCCCGATGACGTATTCTGTAGCGTTATGCAATACTTTCACAATGAATGATTGACAGCGTTTCGTTCTGTGTTTATTGATTTATTCACCCGATTCTACAGAAGCTGTTTGTGTATACTGCACTATGCGGAGTCCATTTCGGTGCTCTCGCGGGGATATTGCGTCAGTACTGTAAAAAACGGCCTAAAAGCCTACTCACTCACATAGTTATTGTCCCTCACGGGTATTTGTGTTGACAATATAAAAACGAAAAGAATAATGTTCTACAGTATCACATGCCAGTATTTTGTGTTCATTTAAAAAATACCTCTGTCGGTCGGAATCCCATCCAGGAGTGGCTGGACCTAGTTATCCAAATCTAAATATGACGTAGAGGCAATGAACACGTTGGAAGACTACAATGGTGATACATACGTACAAACATACATACCATTACTTGTCGTAAAAGGCGACTATGCTTGTCGCAAAAGGCGACTAACGGGATCGGATGGTCAGGCTCGCTGACATGGTTGAAGCATGTCATTGTATCCCAATTTCGTGGATCGATGCTCATGATGTCAATCACTGGATTGTCTGGTCCAGACTCGATTACTTACATACCGCCGTCATATAGCTCGAATATTGCTGAGTGCGGCGTTAAACAAACAAACAAACAAACAAACAAACCTACCTACCTACCTACATGTACCTACCTACCTACCTACATTTCTGATATAATAGCGTCACAGCTGTGAATGGGACGGTTGGATAGCCTTTAATGACCAAGCGTTAATCCGAAGATATTTGTTTGTTGTTGAAGGCCGCACTTGGCAATATTCCAGCTATCTCATATGACGTTGGCACGTATTTAATATTATGAGAAACGTCCCGCGCAGTCTGTGTATGGTGGCAGACAATTAACCAAGTCATCCAGTCCGACAATCCGTTCTGTGCAGACGCTAATTCGACGAGCGTACGTTGCTTGGGACCTATTCTAACCCACAATCCCCATGACGAGCGTACGTTGCTTGGGACCTATTCTAACCCACAATCCCCATGACGAGCGTACGTTGCTTGGGACCTATTCTAACCCACAATCCCCATGACGAGCGTACGTTGCTTGGGACCTATTCTAACCCACAATCCCCATGACGAGCGTACGTTGCGTGGGACCTATTCTAACCCACAATCCCCATGACGAGCGTACGTTGCTTGGGACCTATTCTAACCCACAATCCCCATGACGAGCGTACGTTGCTTGGGACCTATTCTAACCCACAATCCCCATGACGAGCGTACGTTGCTTGGGACCTATTCTAACCCACAATCCCCATGACGAGCGTACGTTGCTTGGGACCTATTCTAACCCACAATCCCCATGACGAGCGTACGTTGTTTGGGACCTATTCTAACCCACAATCCCTATGACGAGCGTACGTTGCGTGGGACCTATTCTAACCCACAATCCCCATGACGAGCGTACGTTGCTTGGGACCTATTCTAACCCACAATCCCAATGACGAGCGTACGTTGCTTGGGACCTATTCTAACCCACAATCCCAATGACGAGCGTACGTTGCTTGGGACCTATTCTTACCCACAATCCCCATGACGAGCGTACGTTGCTTGGGACCTATTCTAACCCACAATCCCCATGACGAGCGTACGTTGCTTGGGACCTATTCTAACCCACAATCCCCATGACGAGCGTACGTTGCTTGGGACCTATTCTAACCCACAATCCCCATGACGAGCGTACGTTGCGTGGGACCTATTCTAACCCACAATCCCCATGAGCGTACGTTGTTTGGGACCTATTCTAACCCACAATCCCTATGACGAGCGTACGTTGCGTGGGACCTATTCTAACCCACAATCCCCATGACGAGCGTACGTTGCTTTGGACCTATTCTAACCCACAATCCCAATGACGAGCGTACGTTGCTTGGGACCTATTCTAACCCACAATCCCCATGACGAGCGTACGTTGCTTGGGACCTATTCTAACCCACAATCCCCATGACGAGCGTACGTTGCTTGGGACCTATTCTAACCCACAATCCCCATGACGAGCGTACGTTGCTTGGGACCTATTCTAACCCACAATCCCCATGACGAAGGTTAGACTCAACACAGAGATCACTGCGTCTTGTCAGGTCGTGCTGATCCACGTGGTGAGCGCCGTGAAATATACTGAACAAAAAAAGTAAGGGATCGTCAAATATTTTTATTTCTGAAATATGAAATTGTGTGTGCAGTCTTCCCTATACAAAAATATCTCTAAAACTAGTCACGATCCCTAACATTTATTGTTCTGTATGGTTAAATTATTGCGAAAGCGCCCTGAAAACAAACCACACTTGCCCACTCTAAAGTGTGACATGTCTAATTATTTCACCATATCCTGTTGAAGTGAGTCGTTGCTGAATCTTTCACCACTGATAGGCCGAATCAAGGCTTGGTTAAATAACGCGATGTTATCTGGTCATAATATAGCCGTATATGCTATAAGATATACCCAATCATAAAGGTCATTTACGATAAATAGTGTTTACTGTAGCCTCAAGGTCAACACCGATGTTTGAAGTCCATTTTCTGTGTCCCGCCACGGTATGTGCGTCAATATTGTTCAAGCGGCGTAAAACAGCACTCACTCACCACTCTTCTTACATTGGGAGTGAGTGAGTGAAAATTGAACGACGCATGGACATAATTTCAGCCATATAGCGACTCTCACATTCAGACAAACCAGAATCGTCGGGACTAATATAAACCCTTTTCATTCTGAAAGTTCACATATAGATTTTAAGATTTTGTAAGAGGTATAAACAATTATTTTCCTGTTTTGGAATACACACACAAATTAGGCATTGTTGCCTCATAGACCTATAGGTAGAACGAGGCATGCTTGGTTTAGAAATTTACAAAAGATGGCTTGAAGCGTGACAATTACGGATCTCACCGATTTCACTAATGAGGAAAAATATAACTTTTGAAGAATTTGTTGTTATTTTCCTCTCCGCCGAGTCTGGTATTACAGTTTGAGTGTTCTATTAACAATACAGTGCAAGGATAATCCGAGTGACTATATTCCCAGGAACAGTCTTAGGCCTCCACGAAAGCACGTCGTTATGAATGTCGTAATTCAGTGTGTTCTAGATATGGGAGTCTTAGCGCTACAATTGTTTTATGAAACGGGTCCCGGTCGCATTAAATATTGTAGCGACTGTGATATATTCCATGAATCAGATAACTCTGTAACTTGTGTCAACTAACCTTTATCTACAAGTGTAGATAATGCTTAGATTCACCGACATGTAGTGATGACGTGGATGAAGGTGACAAGTAACTGTAGTGTTGTATGGATGTGGGCTAACTCTTAAAATACGGTGAATATTACTCTATTTGTTAAAATGTCAAAATCTGCCCACATTTCCCTGCAAGCCCTGATGCGATCCCTGCGCTGATCTGTCTAAAGAGGACATGTTAAGAGGACTTGGTTTTCGTCAATGTTATTCATACAATTAAAACACAGTCTAGCCTGTTTTGAACATTCAGAGGTTTGGCTATGAATGTTATTTATATGTTTGTTATAAATTGGATGTGTCGTATTTAGATTAATTAAGTTGGGATTGCCACAGTTACCGATAATCTGACTGTAACTTGAGGATTGTCTCGCCGGGAATAGAACCGATTTAGGAAATCGATTGGCGTAGTTTTTTTTCTGAAGTCGATGATGAACATAGCTATCCAGCAAAAGGTTAATACCTTCAAGCTGCTTGTACAACGTTGGTGAAAATAAAAAAACGTATTTTTATATGGATGTCACCATTACGTCGCCCTGAAGTCCCCCCAGACTCAGTCCAGCAAGGTGATGTCAATCCCGAGAACACCCACGGGGAAATACGACGAGCTGCAGCCACGTGGCTGGCTGATTCTAACCTGCAATTTCCAGGACGTTCTTGGATGTGTCTGTGTTTACAGATGTAGCTAAGATTCGCGTCTGAGGATGAAATATCGATCGGTTATCCTGAACGAACTCGCACTCACGTTACTAGCAGGTGGTGTGTGACGTACAGATATATACATACACGCCCCACGCCCCTGTCTCATCCGTCTTCTGCCGTCTACGAATTAATGGACACACCGTTAGATCGTTCGAAGTTTTGAGGTGAGGTGAAGTGGGGTTTAACGTCGCGTTCAAGATTGTTGCACTTATATAGCGACGTGTGTGTGTGTGTGCGTGTGCGTGGCTGTGGCTGTGGCTGTGGCTAGTACTAGTCCGGACGAATGCCGATTTATAGTGCTAGCCCACTGAGATACCATGCTGCAGTGTTAACATGGATTCCCCACTCAGACACAGTATCCCGACTCGGAGCCGACCAGTCCTTGTTTTATCCCCTTTAATGCCGAGCGCCAGGCAGCGTAACAACAAGTACCATCTTTTAACATCTTTTGTTATGACGCGGCCGGGGATCGAACCCCGGACCTTTAGCACTTCGGGCGGAAGCTCGACCACTAGTCCCTCACTTTATTTTGAAGTGAGTCCGTTCTTTGACCGCCCCCGTGGCGTAGTGGATAAAGCGTACGCCCGGAAAGCGTAAGTCGGTGGTTCGATCCCTGGCCGCGTCAAACCAAACCACGTTAACAGATAGTTGTTCCATGTTGGCTCTTGGCATTAGAACAAAACAGTATGAAGGCCATTCGTTGGCCTTCCACATGTTACACAATTGAAGTGGCTATTAGTAGCATAGAGTAGGACAACACACGTTTTCTTTTCAAATACATGAAATGTA